TAATATTTTACAGGAATTTAGAACATTTGCTGCTCAAAAAGCACCAAGAAAAATTTTAAAACACTATAGATGAGGGAAACCGAGTTTTGCTTGAATACTTGTTTTAAAAATGCAAATTATTTCTACAAGATTGATGACTGACATATTACAAAAGAACTAAAGCATAATTTATATTTCACAGTGGCTGACATGTGATTGAATCTACACACACACACAAAAAAAGGTAAACACATAATACTGGACCCACCAGAGCTGAACCACAAAGGAATATACAAAAAGAACATAAGCACATACAGGTAGTCCTCATTTAACTTACTGTTTAAAGACTGTTTGGACTTATCACCAAAGTGCACTTTTCAGGCTTATAATCTACCACTCAGACTTATGACCTGCTTTATGTATAATTTTGACATCTCGTCAATGTCTTTTTTTCTTACAGTACACTTGTTTACACAGTACTGTAATTTTGCTGAGTACTGTAGATTACTATAGTTTTGTGCTGTTATACATGACAATACTGCATGTAAGAGTTATGGAAATAAAAATGAAGTCACCGAGCTGGGGTTTTCTTTCACCATTTCTTGTTTTATACACTGATAAATACACTTACCTAGTTTATACACTGTAGACCAACATGCAACATGTAAAAACGGAAGAAATACCTCTGCTAAAACAAGGTATACACTATATACAATTCTTCATTTAGTGATCAATTCATTTACTTACCTAGTTTTAGGAACAGAAGGAAATGCTTATCCCTAAAATATTTACCTGTGACCTCAACTGACTTTGTATATTATCTTACAAGATTCTGTTCTAAGGTTGTTGTAGTCAGGAGTTATAAGAACGATTACATACAGGACACAGGATTTATAATATTATTTTATGATGTTTACCCAGAGTTAAATACAAGAAAGTGCAGGAAATCTGTCCATAACACTGGATCAGACAGCAATGTCCTGCATGTGTCCAGCTGAAGACCCAGAGCCCATGACAATGCCTCCTATGAGTCCAGTTGGAGGACTAGAGCCCATATCAGGAACTCATGTCAGTCTGTTTTATAGATCTGCACTGGGAAGGCCCTAAGGTCAGTGGGAGAAGCTAGAAAGTCTATGCCAATGGGATGAAGGGGCTGTGCCAGTAGGTCTCTGTCTATTGGCAACTTTCCTTAGGTGAGCCATCTACTCTCAGTACCATGCTGATTTAATTCAGCTGGTGTTAAGTTGACCATCAGTTTTTAACCCATAACAAAGGTTCTTTCACATTGACATTTACATATAATTATGTAATTATTGTATTTAAAATATAGTTATTCAACATCTCAAAATGTCCAAGTGTCCCGACTCAAAAATATCGCCTAGCACATGTAAAAGGAGAGCTTTCAATATTAACAAAAAGTTCAAAATAAAACATTTTGGAAGAAATAAGCGAACATGTGTTATCTCCTGAGCAACTAGTATAAATAAATATACACTGTAGACCAACATGCAACATGTAAAAACAGAAGAAATACCTCTGCTAAAACAATCTTTAGTGCTGCAAAGTCATTAACAAGGCTTAAAGAAATATAAGAAATGGAAAATTAGTCAAACACATAAATAAAGACTAAACAGGATCAGGAGCCTTATTTCCCACAAAGAAAAAGCGCTATCTATATATAATATAAGGACCTTGAGTATAAATCACGAAATCATATAAAGTGCTTCATAGAACTGTGCAGTTGTCCAGCTTTCTGATTTAGAAACCTGTTACAGCTGCCAAGCTTGAAACATGATCCATTATCACAATTATTTCCTATCAGCAGCTGTTACTACTTGCATAAGAAACTTACTTTCTTGTCACTTTTCCCACTTCTGTGACAGGGTTTCTTGAGATCATACCCAAAGGTATTAACAGTTTGTTCCAACTTCCATTACAGCCATTAAAAACCCATCTGGCACTATAGCTGTCCCTTCTAGAAAGGTAGTTTTCTTCTCATGAGCTGCTTTTAATCTTTGACAGTGAAGTTTTATCATTTTATTACACTGGCCATTCAATATGGATTTCACGATTTATTTACCCTACCTGGAAATCACTGTTCTTGTATCTACAGGTCATGACGACTGACCAATTCTGGAAAATTCTCAGATATTATCTCTTAAATGATCCTCTATCCCAGAGATAGCAAATCTTTTAGAGACAAGGGCCAAACTGCAACCCAAAACCCACTTATTTATCACAAAGTACCAACGCTGTAATTAAACCTAAATACTGAGGTTCTAGTTTTAAAAAAAACATTTACTTACATTAACATCTTTTGTTTTGAAAGAAAAATGAGTAACATGTGTGCTATAGGTTTGCCACCACTGCTCGATCCCATTCTCTATTCTACACTGGGTAGAACAATTAAATATATAAAGAGGTTTACTCTTTCCATCTTACTAACATACTCATTCAAACTTTACTGTCTACATTTTGGATATTTTGATACATACTTCATTTCACTAATTCTCTCTTCACTTGTATCTTATGTTGCTAGATCCATGTGTTAAATATCCAGATTCGGGAAGGAATGAAAATTAGAGAATTGAGAAATGTAACAGAAAAAATAATATTAGAAACATTAACATTTGATTTACAGTTATAAAGATAACTCTTTCATGTTCTTGTCAGGTTTCCTGCATGTCATTTGACCAGCTCCAACAGTAAAATATGAGGCAAGGACTTAAATGCACAGATCTTTTTTCGAGTATGATCCCAAGAAACACTGGTTTGGCAGTTGGAAATGAGACTTAGAAGAAAGGAAAGAAAAGATCATTAGGCAAGTGATCACTGTGAACAACTGTAATTCTTCTGACAATCTATGGAAGAAATGTTTCCCCAAGAAAGTACATAAGAATCATCTGTGTGGAGATCACTATACTCACTAGTCCTGATTCACTAGGACTCAAAGAACTCACTGAAAGACATTTCACTCATGGGTATGGCTTCCTACAGAAAAATAATACAGAGTATAAAACAGCCAAGGGAAGAAACACATAGGGAGTCTAGGAAAGTAACAAATGGGGACCTTCTGGTTGTCTTCTCCCCTGGCTACAGATAACTGTGTTCTTAGTACCTGTTTGGACAATGTACAGAGCACGCTAACCAAGGAAGCTTACCTGAGCACCAGTGGCCACAGCCTTCACTAGAGCTCCATCACACTGGGCAAGGCTGCCAACATGGCTGATCTCCTTTCTAGTCCCTTCAAACACTGTTATGTTGCTCAAATCAAAAGCTTCCTCCTCAATAACAGTAACCTTCTAACTTGACCAAAAATTCTCAGGCAAATAAAATTATTCAAGTATGACCTTCCAACCAGGCATGCCCAAAGTGGTCTACAAGCTGCTGACCCCTTTTAAATGTTATAGCAACACTTGTTTTTAAAAGTAACAGAACATATTTATATGCAGCCTAAGACAGTTCCTTGTCACTCAATGTAGACCATGCAAACCAAAGGCTGGACAGCGATAGCAGAAGTTACTGCCCAGAAACTAAGACTAGGTCTTTCAGGGCAAGATTAAAATTCTTTACTGTGCTGCAAATTATAGGTAAGCTCTGAACATTCTTACCCTACTGAGCTTAATCACTACATTATGATGTTGATAAACCAGAACTAGGTGTAAATTTTTGTAATGTTTTTAATATTACTAAACTTTGAATCATAGTTGGGAAAAATCATTTGTTTGATATTTGAAACAAACCAGGATTCACAGCTCAATCTTATTCCACATCATCAATACATTTTTTTTTTTACATGTCAGTCTTTACTTCTGTAAGAATAGGCCACATTTGTGCAAAGTGCTGCTCAGGACAACCAATCAATGTACAATGGATAATTATATTCCTCTTGCATGATATAATCATTCTTTATGAAAAGAGGCAGCAAAAATAACTTCCTAAAACTTGCTAAAAATCTGAGGACTGCTATTATTTAAATGTTAACTGTTGGTATTTCTAAATTTTTCTGCATCAAATCACTTACATACTAGCAACTATACATCTACATAAATGTACAACATGCAATCATTCTTTTCTTTAAGAACACAGAAGCCTCTAACAATTTTCTTTTCAGTTCACATATCAGAATGCCCTCTGCTGTGTACTTCATAATACAGTCTCCAATTTACAAAGGTTCAACTTTATCATGGTAAGAAAGCAGCAAACAATTTGAAGTTTGGTCTTTTCCTGGCTTAGCCACACACAGTACTTCACAGTGCAGGCAGCGACAGCAAGCCATAGCTTCCAGTCAGTCAGGCGATCATGAGGGCAGACAGCAAACACACTACTGAATGAAGCTATGATGTGTCGTAAGTGAAGCACTTTTACATACAGTATCTTCAACTTATAATCAGTTTATCAGGATGTGACCCCATCAGAAGTTGAGGACTATCTGTATATCCAAACGGGTATAGTTTTAAAGTACACATATTTTAAAACTTTATTAGTACAGTACATATGTGACATATATTCACCTTAGAGAAGGTACACGTATATAACACATCTTGATTATTTCTTAATACCCTTCCCCTCTCCAAGCATCTGCCTCCCTCTCTAAGTCACCTTTCTTCATTAGTATTTATTTATTTATTTTTGAGACAGGGTCTTGCTATGTAGCTCAGGCCAGCCTTGAACTCACTATGTACCCTCCTCCTGCTTTAGCCTCCTAAGAGCTGGGATTACAGGCAGGTGCCACCATGTCCAGATCTTCATTAGGATTTTTATTATTCCTATTTCTAGTGGATGTTTACAGCAGATAGTGTTTATATTCCCCGTGGGTACTTGGCACACACACATGACCCAACTTATATATTTATTTTTTGTCAGTACCAGGGATCGAACTTCGACCACATACTTGCAAGGCAGGCACTTATGCCACTGAGCTAAATCCCCAGCCCCCATCTTAAATCTTTTTAATCCTCTTCCTCTCACTCTGGATCTCCTGGTGCCCTTCCCATTTACAGAAGATCTACTTCCATGTTTCATTCTATCAATCCTTTATTTTCCTCTTTATATATTTGTACCTTGCCTTGCTCAAATGAGAAATATCCTACAATATTCAAGCTTGTGTTTTCTGATTCATCTCACTGAACATTATATTTTTCTTTGTGTATCCATTTTCTTCAAAATATCCCAAATTTATTCTTAATTTGACCAAGTAGCTCAGGCTCAGGCAAGTAATAGTGCAGTATCTACAGACAACAGTTTCTTTAATTTGAAATTTTAAATGGGGTATAATGTTAAAGATAAGTAGCTAACAAAATCTTTAATGAGACCATAAAACATATTAGATATTAGTCAACATTTTCTACCTTAAAATACTGGAAGAGAAAAAAAACTTTAAACACTGGAAAAGAACATTTTTTTTCTGTAAGATACACCTGCACTCTTTTAAAATAAAGTGTCACAAGAAAGAATGTAATGAAGCATTTTTTAAATTCTAAATAACAGTATATCATTATAAAGTAATAAACATGAGAACGAGAATATATTTACAAGTATAATTTCTAAAAATTTAAAGTACAATTCTCTGAAAACTTAAGATACATCAAGGGTATTGAAGGAATGCTACGTAAAACTTAAAATGCGTAAATACTAAAATGTCTTACCAAGAGCCATAAATACATATCCTAAAATCTTTCACTTTATGCTTAGCTACATTTTCTCATTCCTTGTTACACAACAGGAAATTCTGTACATGTACTCTTGCTTTCAAATGGAGTGCTACATCTTAGGCTGAAAATATAGAATATTATCTGTTTGTAAGGATGTCCTGCCCCCCAGTGGTATCAGACATAATACTTTGAGTGCACCTCTCACCACTGCCAAGAGAAGACAGATCCCTTCCACATGCACATTCAGAAAGTATATCACACTGTATGGCAGCATCTAGTTTTTCTTGCATCACAGATGCTGTCTCTGTTTGTACCCCTGTGTCACATTTTACAACCTGCATAATGCAGTTACTGGTTTTGTTTTCCGCATGTGCTAAGTTGCACTGAGATTGTGGGAACTTCACTGCACTATTTTTTACTGAATACTGGTGAAATTTCTCATTTTGTTTGTGAAATTTTGCATTTTTGTTAACAATCTTATTATCTGGAAGTTCAACCTTGTTTTCTAGATAAAAATTATTACTTGTTTCTGTGGTTTTGGTAGACATCTTACTTGAGTCCTCAGTTTGTTGCAATATTTGGTCTTCATCTTCAGATAGCTAAAAGAAATAATTTTGCTGTAAATAATCCTACATTTTAAAAAATAATCACTTTAAACACACATCCTTAAAATCTACATCATGAGAAACTGTTAAATTTAGGAAAGATTTTAGCTAGTTATAAATTAAAGAAGATGTACTATTAAAGAGTCTTCAATCTACCCCTGCTCCCAGGAGGTTGTGGATTTTAAAACAGCAAGAACAATAATAATACTCTTTCAAATAGAGCGCTATATCTTAGGTAAAGATGCTAAAAAAAGAGCTCAAAAAGAGGAGTTTTGTCTCTTCTCAGAATCTGTGATCATAGGCTGTATTGTGCTACTAAACTTTCATAAGGAAATGTTAGGCAACAAACTCTTCAATCACTTAAAACAAGTAAATAGATGTAAGATCGCTGAAGAGAACAATTAATACATGTAATTTGCATTATTTATTCATTCCCCCGTTAAGTAAGAAATACTTTTATGGGCCTATACCATTAAAGATACAATATAACCTAAGAGTATCAGCTAACAGAAAATCAAACAAAGCTAAACAGCAATAAATATTTTAACTGTTATCTAAAAAGACAAACTTGACCTTTCAGAGGTCTAGATTTCAATGTGGTAACATGTATTTTTCAACTTCATGAAAAATTCTATTAATGGAAATAGCAGAACGTATCTAATGGAAATATGTTTGTGAAGATCTTGTATTAAAAAAATACAAGATTGTGCCGCCATGCCCAGCTAATACAAAATTTTATCTTCAGATACAGGTGGCACACACCTGTAATACCAGCACTTGGGAGGCTGACAAAGGACTATATAGTTATGAGTTCAAGACCAGCCTGAGCTACAAAATGAGCTCAAGGCCACCCTGGACTGCATAGTGTGACCCTGTCTCAAAAAGACAAAAAAAAGAAAAGAAAAAGAAAAAAAAAGGGATTATTCAAGGTAACAAAAAGGGATGGAGAGAGTAAAGTTAAGGTAAAAAAAAATTAAAAAACTAGAATGGTATATAGACCTTAGGTCATCAGCAATGAAATAAAGCCTAAGAAGTAGCATTAAAATTGAACACAAGTTGGAGAAAGCAATATACATTTATTTACTAAATGGCATCTGAAAGGTGAGTGGAACAAAATGGCCACTATTCTTGTGGACACAAGTAATGGGTAGAAATGAAATCAGTCAAATATTCATATGAACATGTAACTACAAGTTAACAAAAGCATTATGAAGAACAAATATGGGTACTTTAAAAACAAAACTGAGGGGCTAGTTGAGGTTACAGGGACTTTTGGAATATGTAACATATTTAATCTAAGTTTGAAAGGATGAACAAGAACCAGGGATAAGGAAACAATGTACAAAAACTTTGAAGCAGAAAAGAGACTACCTAAAGAAAGCAAAAGCTCCAGTGTATGGACCAGGAAAGGAAGAACAGGAGAAACTAGAGATATCAGCCAGGAGCAGATACATAGGGCCCCAGCCACTGTAAAGACTCTAGATGTCAGAGTAAAATGGCAATCCCCAACTATATGCAGTGAACCATGCCTGTATTACCAGCTACTTGGGAGGCTAAGGTCAAGGCCAGCCTAGGCTACTAGTGAGAGTTTGCCACAAAATGAAAGGGACTGGGTTCAGGCCCCAGTATGGGATGCAGGATAGGAGAGAAGGGGTCCACTGGGTATTTTCACTGCAAGTAACATGATTCAATTTATGTTTTCAAAGAAAAGTATGTCTGAGAACTAGAGAAGAAAATGGGACAAGCAAAGTAGGAAGATCTCTTATGAAACAACCACAACAGTTTAAGAGTAAGTAAGATGATCACAACTTAAGAACTGAATTAGGAAGCTGAAAGAAGTAGATAAATTTGCAATTTATTTTACAGGTACTGAATGACAGATGAAGTGATAAATGTGATTGAAGGGGTAGATTAGACAAAGAAATGACAAAGTTAATATTGTGCTAAGTTTTTGTTATGAATATTTAAATAGAGAAATATGAGAAATATCATAAAAACTGATTCAGAGAAAACACAGTGAGTATTAAGGTTGAAATATGAAGACCTAAAGATTTCTGTGAAATATCCAAAATGAAAGGTCCAACTAGAAATTGAACATGTAAGTAAGGATCAGGACTGAAGTCATATTGCTAGGAATTGTCATCATACAGGAAGTAAAGTCGATGGAGTATATAACATCATTACTAGTTTAGAGGATATAGTAACAGAAAAAGGTTGTTTCAAACCATAAACATAGTTGCATAGAAAGCAAGGCAGACAAGAAGTGGGCGAAGACATAAAAGTAGCATTCACACAGGTATCCAGGGAAAATGAGACACTGTAATCATAAAAGCAAAGAGGCAAAAATGTTCCTTAAAAAACTAGAATAACTTCTACTTATATTAGGAGTCTTTATAAGATAAAGACTGAAAGGTATCTAGTGAATTAGCAACACAGAAGTCATTGGTGTCATTCAATAGCAAAGGTAGTTTGAATAACAAAACAGAGAAAAAAGGTAGAAGAAATGAAGATGAAAGAGTAAATAGAGTAACTCCATTTAAATTTGTAATGTAGTAGAAATATAGCATTTCTTCTCAAAATATGTCATTCCAATTATTTGGAATTTAGTTTCAATAACATTATACAGTTACATGCCTTGAGATCTTTTATTTGAATATATGTATTTTATCCTTCCAATTATTTTAAGTCTCTTTAAAAATACTTTTAAAGGATTTAGCCCAGTAGCATAAACACCATCCTCATAAGTACGAGGTTGTGAGTTTGATCCCAGATACCAAAAACAAAATAAAACAAACTTTTTAAATGAACACAGGATCAAATATCTATTAGACAGAGATATAACTACCTACATTTTATATATTGTCCATGTTTACACACAAAAATGTGTATATAGCATTCATACGTATCATCAGACCTATAAATAATGCATTCATCACTTTTGTAAATTCAGTGAGTAATGTTCAGTCACATTTTTGTTTATATCTTATCTTTTTGTATTTTAACTTCTTCTTCTGAGTGGTTCTTAAATTATTTCTATTTCTATTGTTGATTCAAATTTTTATAATGTAAAAGTAAACTACCATAAAAACAAATTCTAAATAAACACATATGTATTAATAAATATACATGTATTAATAAGTGAAAAAAAAGCACAACTTACCATCTCTGAACTGGAACTGAAACAACTCTCTGTTGGCCTTGGAGAGTAACTGGAACACTGACTACCCTGTGAAGACTCAAGATCTGGGAAAAAAAAAAGGTTTAGTTCATGAAGAATTGCATTTATTAATACTCTACAAAATATACAGAAGCTGAATATATCTAGCTGTAAATATGTATTTAGCTAACAAAACAATTACATTTAAAAATATGCCAAATTTAGTTAAAACTGGACACTTGGCATCTTGCATTTCTTTATTTTTTTATTTTTTTTTATTTAAGGAGAAAAAGGAAAAAAACAGAAATAGGGTACAAGTAATACAAAATTTAAAAATAAACAGTAAGAAATCATGAATTAATAGATTACATATTCTCATCTTAGAAATAGTTGTTCAAGTTACAAAATTGAAGCATATAAAGTAGACCTTCAAAAATTGAGAGTGCAAACAGTTTTGTTCAATGACCCAAAAAAACTCAGTAATATGGTTACCTCTCTTATACACTTAAACATATATGCAGTTATAACCTTTAGAGCACTTTCTTTTCTTTTCTTTTCTTTTCTTTTCTTTTGTACAATGACAATTACACATTTTGGGTTTTATTACTCCCACAGTTCTTAGTATTTTTTTTTTTGAAGAGAGTAAAACCAAATGCAACATATCAGAACAGAGTCAGTCAAATCAAAAGGATGGACGTAAAAGATAATGTAAAAACAAAATATAAGGTGATCAACAATGGTTACCATACTGCCTCTTGCTATTTTAAGAAGAATTGCCAGTTATAATAAAATTGAACTAAACAGTAAAGAATAAAACCAAAGCATTGGAGACATTACAGGATTTTAAAAGAAAATAATAGTCAACGGAATGGGTGTCATAATGATTCTTATTGTCTTCACAGTTATGCCTACTTTCGAACTTGGTACTATCAAGCAAATCAGAATAGGGGAAAATCAGTCAAAACAAGATGGTGAGGGCAATACAGGATTTCAAATCAAGTTAATAGGAAATCAAAGTAGGTTACTATAATGTATCCTGCAATTTTTTATTTATTTTTCCCTTAATTAAAAAAAGAAAAAGAAAAAAGTAAATAATTAAAAAAAAAGAGGGTATAACAACAGAACAGCGCAGGTCAAAACATAACCATTTAAGCAAAATAGTGTTTCACCACAAGATATCCTGACATAAAAATAGTTACCATAGTGTGTCTTTCCTTGAAATCTTTGAGTATAACTTCTTATACTGTAGTACCAAACATATCAAGACACTATAAAACCATTCAAGAGAATGAGATTTTTACAGGGTATTTAGAACCAATTAACAGAAAATGAACAATGGTTTCTATATAAACTCCTTGTCTATAAAAGTTTTTGCTTATATTATCATATATAATAAAATCCAGTAAGATACAACCTGTTAAGACCAACGGAGACAGAAGAATCATAATGGGTGGAGTCTAATAAAGGTATTATTTGATCTTATCCTCTTATGAGATTGGGAAACATTGAATAAAATAAAGTGTAACATCTCAGAGTTCTCAAAACCCTGGTATAGTCTCTGAATTTTCAAGACTGAAACATAGGATGTGATACTTTCAGGAATAAATTTAGGGTAACATAATTTAGAGAATCAAGCAAGCCATACCACTTGTTTTCTTATCTGGAAAATGTTGCAGTTAGAGTGGATGAACTCCAATTCTCTTATCCAGATTTGCATTAGACCTACATATCCGTAGTTCTGTGAAGATTGTTCTAGAAATTATTTTGTAGCATTTTCAAGGTTAGACTATGAGTAATATATTTTTTTCTGGAAATCTCCAAAAGTAAAAAATCTTCTGGGACAATGTGAAAAGCTGTCTTACTGACAGTAGAAAGACAAATGCTATGCCTTACTTATTTCCAAAAACACATTTGCAACAAAATAAATGAATAGAAATGATTCTCTGCCTAAGAATTAACATGCTTGTGGTTCAGATGCTATACAGAAAATAGTCACAATACCAAAGGACAGAAACTTCATCTCACATGTGGTTGAGGACTAAGGATGTACTACAGATTGAACCTAAAATCTTCACTCTGAGCTATATCCCCAATCCTTCTTATATTTTTTTATCTATCCTTGGTTTCTTTCAAGCTGTTATGCCAGTTTTCATAGTTTTTAGTTTCCTGGTAATCTCTTTGAACTTGCTTCACGTATTCTATGTTTTCTCTATTTTCTCCATCAAACAATTCTCCCCTTTTCTGTTCTTCTATTCCACCATCTGTTTTTTCTTGGGCGGTGTTTAGTATTTCTCTAACTTTCTGCTTATATCTTGCTTCAGGTCGTTAATAACTTCATTCCTGAACTCATCTATGAGGCTCTGGAGATAGCGTTTATGTCTATTCATGCCGTGTCTGCTATTGAATGTTTCTCAGGATTGGGGGCCGAGGACCCTTTCTTGTTGCTCCCTCTTCCCATACTTTTTGTTCCTTTTATACAAGTGAATATAGGAGGCCCAGTTTCTTTCTTTGTCGGTTACAATTTGTTTGAATTGCGTCACCTAGCTATTCCAGCCCACTGCAGTGTACTAGGGAGACAGAGACCTGGGCAACCTATGCTGCGCCTGCCCTTCCAGGTCAACCTACTGAAGGCTCAACACAAAGTTATTAAGAGCACAAGTTCTTAAAAAGAATTTGAAGTATTTTAAATCCTAAACAACCTCCAGAGAAGAATGATGTACTCTATAAAATTATCTTTCAAAACTGATGGAGAATTAGATACTTTCATAATAAAGAATACCTAAAGAAATTCATGATCACCAAAAAAGTACTCCAAAATCTACAAAAAGATATTCTACAAAAATATAATGAAGACAACAATTTCAATAATCTCAACAGAATGAATGTACCACACATGGCAGGCAATTAAATAGAAAAGGAATCAACTACAGGAAAATAATATGATGACAAGGGCAAGCCATATGTATCAGTTATAATCATCAATATGAGCAGTCTCAGTTCACCAATCAAAAAAAAGGGATTGGCAAAATGGATTAAAAACCAAGATCTAACAATATACTGAATACAAGAAATACATTTGATTGAAAGAGCAACTCACAGACTCAAAGTCAAAGGACGGATAACAATACTTCACACAATAGGGACTCAGAAAAAGCAGTGGCAGCTATTCTCTTTGCAGACACAGTGGATTTCAAGCCAAAAATGATCAAGAGAAACAAAGAAGATCACTACATTCTTGTTAAGAGAACAATTCAAGAGTAAAAACTAACACTCATAATACACATGTACAAAACACTGGTGAACCCAACTATATAAAACACACAAGGACATGAAAAGTTAGATAAGCACTAATACAGTTGCAATGGGTAACATCAATAATCAGTGTCACAAATAAATCAACTAAACAAAAAAAATCAATGAAAAATATCAGAACTGAACCACATTTTTGAACAAATGGACTTAGCAGACATCTACATAGTATTTCATCCCACAACTTTAGAGATATAAATTCTTCTCAGCAGCACATAGGATGTTCTCCAAAATAGATCACATATACTAGCTCACAGAACACGCTTAAGTAAATGCAGAGGAACTGAAATAAACCCATGCATACCACCAGATCATAGCATAATGAAATTGGAAGACAATGGCAAAAAACCACACAAGAACTTCATAAACACATGGAAATTAAATAACACCTTCTTAAGCAACCAATGAGTTGCAGATCAAATTAAAGAAATTAAATAGTTTTTAAAATTAAACAAAAAATCCAATAAAATATACAAGAACTCACTATTAAAGCAGTCCTAAGAGGGAAATTTATAGCAGTGAATTCACACATAAAAACAGAATGAGCCTAATAAATAGCCTAATGTTGAACCTCAACCTTCCAGAAAAAGAAGAGCAAATCAAGCCCAAAGCTCATACTTGGGGAGAATTTATAAAGATTAGAGCAGAAATTAATGGGACTAAGAAAACAATACAAAGGATCAAGGAATCAAAAAATTTGATTCTTCAAAGGATTAAATAAAATTGACAAACAGCCAACTTTATTTAAAAAAAGAAGGAAGACTCAAATCCATGCAATGAGGAAAGAAAAGGTTGAAATAACAATGCATCCTGCAGAAATCCAGATTATTAATACCTACTATAAGAACATGTATTCTAATAAAATGGAAAATGGAAGAAATAGACAGATTCCTAGATAAACATGGATAACCAAAGCTGAATAAAAGATATGGATTCTAAATAACTTAATCATCATTCAATTAAATTAATGATGTAATTTAAAAACCAAGCAACTTTTATCACTGGTACCAAGACAAAAAAACAAAAAACCTAGCAACAAGGCTGGGCATGGTGGCCCTTGCCTGTCATCCTAGCATTTGGGTTTAGGCAGGAGAATCACTGTAACTTTGAGGTGAGCCCAAGACCATAAACTATATTCAAGGCCAGCTTGAACCACAGATTGAAACCCTGTCTCAAAAACAAACAAAAAAGAAAAAACAAAACCAAAAAACAAGCGAACCCAACCAAACAAATAAAACTAACAATGAAAAGACCAGGCCCTGATGGATTCACTGCTGAATCCTACAAGAAACTTAAAGCAGTAATGCCACTTCAAACTCTTTCGTGAAACTGGATGGGAAGCAATACTCCCAAATTCATTCCTGCAAGCAAGCATTACCTTGACAGCAAAAAAGAGAACCACAGGCCAATCTCTCTAAAGAACTTAGGAAAAAAAATCCTCAGTAAGGTACTGGCAAACAGGGGCTGGGGATTTAGCTCAGCAGCATAAGTGCCTGCCTTGTAAGCAGGCAGTCGTGAGTTCAATCCCCGGTACCAATAAAAACGAAAAAGACAAAAAGAGAGGAAAAAAAAAAAAAAAAAGATACTGGCAAACAAAATGCAGCAAATCATCAAGATTATACAGCATGACCAAGTAGGATTCTCCCAGGGATGTACAGATGATTCAACATATGCAAATTAATAAAAGTAATATATCATATCAACAGAGCCAAAGACAAAAATCACATGACCATCATCAATGGATGCAAAAAAAGCAATAGACAAAGTATGACATCCT